CAGAGGGACTCCTCAGCCGGCCGAGGTCAATAAGGAATGCACCAGGGGAGAGGGAGGGAATGTACCACAGGGGTGTTGAGGAAGGGGGTGGGGAGGCGGCGGAGGAAACACAGAGGGGGGAAACAGAAGGGTCTTTTGTGAGACAGGAAGCTGCTGAGACCAGGGCCCTCTCTCTGGGTACAGTAATGGAGCAGAGAGAAACCTGGGATATGAGAAAGATGGCGAGAGAGGAAGATGTGACCGAGGGAACGAAGGCGGCTGAGGGAAGGTTGAGAACGAGTGAGAGACGACACCTGAGGGGAGGTCGAAGAGAGACGATGGATGATATGCAGGGATACAGTTTAGTTATTATATTTAGTAGTCAGAAGCACACATGCAACTCATTTTTCCCATTAGCACTATACATGACTGGGCATTTAAGGACCCCCAACAAATTCTCCCAGTATACTTATCAGTATAGCAACTGTACCAACTGTGTATCCCTGAGAAAAGCACAATAGTACCTGTAGTTGTCTATATAGCATTGTAAAAAAAATCAACAAACATCCAATCAGGTTTGAGCATTTGCTCCCTTGACTATTCAAGATGCTACTGAAGGTACACGTTGAATTTAGTGAGCTTACTGGACAATAATTAATCAATTTGGAAAGTATAGTGGGGTTTTCATTAAACCATAAAAATGTGGGCTTTCTACTTTCTTTTTTTTTGGTCAAATTGTGAGTGTGAACAGTGCATTTAACGTAAAGGATGTTTTTCAAAGTCAAGATATAAATAATAAAAAAACTACAACAGTGGGAACAACACTGAATACATTCCAAAGGAACAAGGTGATTGAGGATAGATGAAAGTGGTGAGAGTGGCGAGGATGAGAACACAATCAGGATGCTGTTTGTGATGGTGAGACTCGAGTGTCCCAGTTGGAACAGAGGCACAAGATCAAAAAAAGAAAAACAAATGATTAATTTCCAAAAACAAGACGCTTAACATACAGACGTGCAGTATTTGTACACAGGCACAGCAGCCAGTTAATGAGGTCAGGGAAAACCAGCAATAAAAACAATCTGAGCTGTTATGGTCGGGAGCTCATTCCAGTCTGTCTGTCCTCTGAAAAGCCATCAAAGAGCTTTTCATCTCTGCCTTCACTTCGGTCCCATCCGGGCCATTACTGTACGAACAAAACACGCACAAGGCAAGGCGGCGGCACAAATAACTGTGATGCTGCAGAATGAAAATATTACCCTCCCTTTTCCTTTTTCTGTCTTACCATCTACACTCCCTTCTTCCTCTCCATCTACTGGTTTCCCCTCGCTGACACATTTCGTTCCTCTCACGTTCACTGCTGGCAAACAGACGAGATTGTTAATCGTCCCACACACAAACAGCACAGAGTCTCTAGTCATGGCAGTGACATTACGAGGATATTTTACGATCGTTTCAAGTTTCTTATGTCTTACATGCACAGTGCTCATGTGTATAAAATGCTATTAATGAAGTTGCTCCACATTTTGCATAAATAAATGTAATACTTGATGCTCCACTGACTTTTGCCTTATTGAATTACAATATTTTGAAGATGCTACATCTAATAACTGAAGCACATTTAACAATCAACATCATGGCTGAATTCTGGTGGGACTACCAGTGACAAAAATACTGTATGTTGTTAGTAAGAGCTTCTTTAAATCTTCCACATTCCCAATTCAAAGGGTTCCTCGTTGTGTCTCTTCTTCCTTTCGTGCATTAACATGTACATTCAAAGAGCCATGATGCACTATTATTGCTAAATGCCTTTATATGAACACACAATGAGCAAGTACAACGAGCTACGTGAATTGAAAGAGTCGAGGCAAACAGACAACGTGCTTCGAGCCCTGTATTTGAATCTGGCTCACAGCTAAGACTTTACATTTACTGTAAAATGCAGAATTCACCACAAATTGCAAACAAAGTTGTTTAAAAGTTCCATATTAAGTTTGGAAAACATTCCTGATTACATCCCCAGTTGCAAGCGACACCAAATGATGTCTTCCTGAAACATTTCTTCCAGCGTTTCTCCGTCTGACATATTTTTATCTGTCGTGTTCCCTTGATTAGAAAGTAAAGCCAACCATTCTCAGATGTAGAATTATATACTTTGTGTGGGACCCATTCTCAGTTTCACCCGGATTTAGCTCTGCTCAGGAGGTGTTCTCAGTCATCTAAGTGTACCCTGGCTCAGATTTGGTCTGTGTATATCCAAAACCTAGCATATCATTACAGCTGAAAGAACATGGGGACAGTGGCTGACCGGTAATTTGGCTTTGCTAAATGTTGTCACTAGTCATTCCAAGGTTTCTTCCCATCCAGTCTGGACCATACGGATGCAACAAGCTGTAAAATCTAGCACACAGTTTGCTTTTCTCACCATAAAAAAAGATAGAAAAACAATTTGAGGTGTGGCTGTCAAAGAAAATGACAAGAATTTTGCAAAAATTACACACCACTAGCTGTTTTTTTTTACCAGTTAGTGTCAACTTACTGACGTGATGTTCTGATCTGGCATATGAGAAAGCATGAATACGCTGTCCTCAGTTAATCGCAAAGTTGTTTTTTTTTTTTTGTTTTAAACATTTTATTTTTGGACATTTTATATACCTGCTATTTTGGCTCATTTTCCAATTTTGTTTTTGCCACAAATCTTATGACACACATTAGTCCCAAAGCTCATTATTATGATTCATTTAACTCTATAAAGCCTTACAGATTTGTTTTTAGTGTTTGCACATTTTAAATGTAGCATAAAAGGAAACAGGGGAAGTGAACTTTTTAAACAGACAGCAAATGTGTAAAAACTGCAACCCAGAAGTTCAAAAATGGATTATAGTGTTTATGTTACTGTGTAGGTGTACCTGGAAGAACAGAAAATAACAGCGAACACACCTGACATGTTGTCCTGCTGTTTTCCTGTCTGGAGGCTCAATAAAGCTCTGTCTTCCTCAGGAGTGTGTGTGCACGCACGCAATGTGTGGGGTATTTCTAGCACACAGGATCCACCAAATCACTGCTGGCAAGTGGCTTCAAACATGGCTCGTTTATTCAGTCCACAGCAACAACATTCACCTGGTGAAAACTGGCATTTGTGAAGCAGAAATTAAGAGGAATTCGAGCCCTGGTATAAAGGTGTCTTTCTACAGCGCTCAGGCTCAGATAGTGGAAGGGAGGGAGAGGGGTGAGAGACAGGAGGAAGGGAGGAAAGGGGGCGAAGACTTAGAAGCCAGAAGGTGACTGGGGAGAGCAGCCGTGATGTAGGGGGGCAGAATTAGAAAGGATAGCAAAGGAGAAGAGAATTCAAGATCAAGGAAGTGAGACAAAATGGTAATTATGAGCTTTTAGGAAATGGGGATAAAAAGGTTAGGCCTGGGAAAGGTTAAGAAGCTACATAAAATACAGCAGCAATAGACTAGAAGTTGTTTAAAACAGAGACCTGCTATAATCAACTGCTTTCCCCTTAATTCCCTAAATGTGATGCAACAGAATTTGGCCATTCAGCCACTGGGAGAAAATCCACAAATTCTAACATCTAACTTACCATATTGACAGCTGTTTTCCTGAATCAAGATTGGCAACTTACTGTCTGCCACTCCAAGCTGAGGGGTTATAGGGTCTTCTCTAAATTTGATGCTGCTGACTTGGCTGTAAAGTGCTTCATGGCCCTGAACAGAGAGTTCATTGTGCCTGCTCCTCCTGCTGGCAGCTGCTGGTACTACAGGAGCAGCTTCCACAGTGGCACACTTGGCTCAGACATCTGAAACATGGAAAGTGATGCTTAGTCTCTCTCTAGTTAGTCTAAGTCTACTCATCAAAGTCAGGGCAACCATGGCCAACTCGTGATTTATACCTTCTATAGCACTACACTTCACTGCAGCGCCTGAGAGTGTGAACTATCCGAAACTAAACTTGATTTGGATACTCAGTAAGACAAGAACAAGGGAGGCCAAATGACTCTGGGGGACCCGTAAGAAGGCCAGCATCAACTAAAAGGGAAAAACATACAGACACATTTGAAAGAGTGAAATATGGTGGGATGAAAAGGTGACCAGCCAATGATTCACTCTCTTTCTAAACATCAGCTCAAAAAACCCTCCAAATAACAGGCTGACAAAAGCACAAATACGTTTAAATATGGCCTAAAAATAAATCTGAGTGTACAGAATTTGGATAAAGGCAAGAGTTAACTATTTTAGGAACGTCATTTCTGTGCATCACTTCAGGCCTTGAACAATGAGCTTAACTGTGCATCAGCTTTACGGGGTAGCATCTGTAAGACACAAGAAAGTGGAGCTACTCTGGATAAACTGTCAGATTTGAGGGAGGAGACAGAAGAAGAGGTGGGAGGAGAGATGTAGAAAGAGCTAGTGAAAGAGCGTCCTCTAACTGCATGGCCAAAAAGATGCCCACATTCCTATCTTTGTTAACAAATAAATGAGTGGCAGAAGGAAGAGTCACCAGTGAAGGGTGCAAATATATCTAGAAAAAACAAAAACAAAAGCTCAAATCGTAGTTCTGCTGCTTCCAGTGGGAATAAAGTAGGCAGGGAGGCAATGCAGAGAAATTTCACCACCCGGTGCCTCTAATCGAGGGAGGAGAGAGAAGGTGGAGCGACAGCAGATGGTGGTTGTTAAAAGTTGGACAGGACAAAAGGTCAGTGCTCCCTCTAGAGGCTGAAAGACGGGAGTGCAGTGCCAGTGGTCACCCGGGGCCCTGGGGTCCTGCTGGACTGAGGAGCAGATCACTTCTCCAGGACACAGAGCGGGCCCAGTTGGTTTGATCCATAACATCCACAGTCAGCAGGTGTTTTAGGTGGAGCCTCGAGAAGTAAGTGCAGTCTGGTAATCTTCAATCCATACAAGTGTGCAACTACTATAACTTAAAGTTTTCATCATTTACATCTTGCAATATTTGAAATTACTTCAAGTTTTTTTTGTTTGTTTGTAAAAATAATAAATGAAAAACACTTCATGTACAGTATTAAAACCTTTACTCGGACATGATACAACAAACAGAAACAAGATTCAGAATTAATGACTGAAAAAATTATTCTTTTTTTTTTTTTCTTCTTCTTCTTTCAATCCCCGAAGCACACAATAGTCAATCAGCTCCACATGTATGATGGAGTCGGATACAAACAGGACAAAGAACAGACACAAGAGAAAGAGAGAAAAATTAAAAATAAGAGTGACAGGTTCCATTCTGATTTTACAGTTCTTGTATTTGTTTAATACTTTGTAATAAACAAAAGATGAATAGCATAGTTGGAGAAGAGGGAGACAAGAAACAAGACAAAGAAACTGTGTGAAAGTGAAGAGTAAACAATTAAGGAAGATTCTAGATCTACTGGAAAATAGGTTTTTCTGTTTTTCGTCTCGGTCAATCACTGAACACCTGATCCGAGTTCTTCAAGTGCCTGCCCTTCTTTTCTCTCTCTCTTATTTTTTTAAATCTCTCTGACCAAGCCTACACAAATTCTCCAACCTTTAACACCAGCAACCACCTCCTCCTTAAGAAGAGCAAACATGTTCACTCCAAGTCCATTCAATATAACCAGGTCCTGGTGAGGGGTGTCCCCTAACCTGTGATTTCCGGTGGCCTTTGCACAGCGTCGCTATAATTGGAGCAACGCGCCTCTGAATCCAAATCCAGCCACATTAGGACTCTAACACAGTAAACACCCGGTCACAAAAAGTACCCAACCAAATCCAACTGAAGAAGAGCAGGTCCAGGACTAGGCCAGGCAAGCCCTGTCAAATCATTCCTTATTTTCATGTCACTCATATGCATTTACCTGTGGCTTAGAAACCAAAGCAGATGTTTTCAGACTGTGGGACCCTATAAAAAGCACCAATGCACAGCTTGAGCACCCAGAGGAGTCCACACACTGGTCTGCTTCTCTCTCCTGGGACCAGTCCTCCCCTCTCCACACGAGCTGTCATTCCATTCCTATTAGGGCCCCTCTTTAGTATGCATTACACAGGCCAAGGTTAGTGCACACTCTTTAGTGTGCTGCACAATAATCACAACATACATGACAGACGAGCACTGGGGACTGAGTGGCCCTGCATTTAAAACGGCCGCAAACAGCTTGGCAGTGATAAATAAACCAGTGAGGGTGGTGTTTCAAGGCTGCATAGCACACACTGCGCCTCAATGATCACAACAGGATGGGCCTTGGCTCCAGGAGGCCTGTAAAAACGCCACCCTGATGTCTAATCTATACATGATGATCAATTCTTCAGTCATAGCCTGTGATCCATTTCAAAAAAAGCGTATTCAATCAATGTCTTTATTTTCAAAAAGCGAGTAATTTCAAAATGTAACAAAGAGGGCGACAACAATACTGCTACACAGTCAAAAGGTCACAGCATGCGTCTGCCTTGAGTGCACACGGTTGCAACGACAAAAATTTGTGGGCGGTGCGATTCCGCGGTCTCCCATGGTGACCACGGGTCGTCGCAGCTCTGCCGTCAAGTAAAGTAAGCAAAGAGGGACACACAGCACTGAATCCCTTCTCTACAGCTCTCCAACACTTGTCTCATAAGAAGCTTCACATCCTTTTCAAACAGTCCAAGAATCGTAGGTTTATTTTACAAGTCCATTCCAATGCAAAGCCCAGTCATTTTCAGCCCACGTGGGTGAGTGAAGAAGCTATGTTAAATTCAAAGTAAAGCAGTGAAGACGGGGCAAAGTAAAGGAAGGACAGAGGCTGGGTTGTATTAATAAAGCATCAGCTCAATAAGCCAGTTAATCGCCCCTCTAGCCCGGCTCCTTTTCCTGCACCCTTTCATTATTTTTGCTCACCCAATGTATTTAATAGCGCTGAGCAGCTCACAGCCAAAGCTACAGTGTCTGCCAGTCAAAAGGCGCAGCTGCAGACAGATTCCATAAACATGTGCACAAAAACACACACATATCCTACAACAGATGCTAAAAAAAACTGAAATATCCAACCAGCTTTTGCAAAAACTGGTTGTCTTATGAGCAAAGCTTGAGGTGGCTTTAGCATAGGAAACCTGCACTGACTGTATAGCTTTTTTCACTGTATCCGTTCATCATCTTCTAAATGCTAAGCTCATAGCAAAACGCAGAGAAATACGGAAAAGGCATAAACTTAAATACACAGCTGTTTTAATGTAGGGATGGGAATTCTAAATGATTTCATTGCCAATTAATATAAACTTATGTAACAGACTAAGCTAAGTTTACAAATGCCAGAAACACAATGCATATACTGCATGAAAACTGTTGAACCATGTTACCACAATATGAATATACAAGTTGCATATTTTGACTTTTAGAAGAATTAACAAAGAATGATATCTGCTAAGTCAGATGTGTGTGTGTGACTCGTCTTTAATGTCAACAAGCGGACCCTCCAGCACAAGACTGACTGTATAGTTATTCCCATCCCCAGTTATAAAAACGGTGCAGTAGCAGCAGGCTTAAACATTCAACAGAGGAAGCTCCAAAAACTAAAATCCTGCAGAGAAAGTCTGTGAGTGATCAACCAACCAGAGACTATTCACACAAGCACACATCCTAAAATCAGCTTTTTCCGAGGGACTTCAGAAAAAAAAAAAAAAAAAAAGCTCATTTTGGGTTGCACTCACAAACCTACTTCCATAGCCCAACTGTCTTAGACCAGCCAAACTGTAATCCAGATCACAGAACTGGAAGCCCAGTGGCTGCAGAACCATTCTCACTCATGTCTCAAAATGCTCTTAGCTCATCTGCAGCAAACGCAAGCCTTTAAAGCACTGAGACTACACGACAGCAAATACAGTGCACGAATTCTGGCAGATGTCGGTTCTTCTCACCTAAATCATAAGCTTGCCACCATCTACCTTTTCCAACAAAATGAGTCAGCAATGGTGCACAAGGGGCTGGCTTTTCTCTGCAACAGGGAAATTAATGGACATCTGGAGACTACTTTTGTTGAGCTGGCCGTACGTATACGAGGATGGAGAAAAACTGAGACACCAAACTCTGAGGTTAGACCAACTTAGTTACATGTTAAACAAAGCACCTGTCATACAGGTCAACTGCCTGCCTCTATAACCACATAACATGGGGGAGGCCAAGGGTCCTCTCTGAGAAGAGGTATTTGGACTATCTGCAGGGCAGGAAGCTCATTGCTCACTGGTCAAAGGAGCTGGCAGACCCCAAAATTCAACAGCTACTTTCATTGCTTCCACCAGCGTAACTGCTTTCTATAATACAAAAGACTCTGGCTGTGTCTGGTAGAGTACAAAGTCTTATCAGCCACAGCCAAAAAGCACAAGCACTTAGCTGGTATTAATTTTCCATAGCTGGGAGTCTGCAATAAAGGCAGGGGTCATAAAATAATGAGGGAAAAAAAATCCAAGATAAAAATGGACATTTTAAGCGAGAGTGGAGAAAGGCTGTCTGATTTGTCTGTGTACTTGCATACTGTGTTTGCATTGATGTAAATGTGCAAATCTTAAACTAAAAGACCATATTAGTTATTTAGCACCTGGTAGAGGACAGCTGTACCTCCTCCTCCCTGTAGAATGATACTGTAAAATGTGTTTCTGATTTCTATTAAATGTGGTGTCTAACAAGAAGGCTAAGTATACCTTAGAATGCCAACACTCTTTTAAATACTCTCCTAACAAAAATGGTAGTAAAACTTTATGTGTACCCCAGTATTGCTCTACTTTGAGCATGTGTAGACGGCATAATTCATAGTTTGCTTTGTATCTCCTGATCATGTGGTAGCTGCATTTGACGTTTCACTGCAATGCTTAGATTCAGTTACTCACAAATTTCAATCACAGTAAATGTCAAGTGCCATTGTCAACAAAATCCAGCCGATCAATTACCAAGAACAACAGGAAACATTGGCAGAAGTTGGTGCAAAAGCAGCAATGAGGTGTGGTTTGGCCCTGGGCTCAAAAACAGTTTCATGGTGATGTCATCACATGGGAGGCAAGTCCAATGTTGATTCAACAGCAAAAAATAGAGCTTTAAAATTTGTTTGTTGGAGCCACGTATTTCGCTTTCTCAAGTGTGAACAGGCCTTTGTTTCTCCATGACTCCTGTGTTTTTTGTATTATTTACATCTACTGTACAAAAGTCGCAAGCACTGAGTCAATACACACTGATTAAAGTTTCCAAAGCTGCAGGTAGTAGGTGTAGGATTTCCATTATGTAGCACTAATTCATTTCATTATTGCATTCCAGCAACTTGACACACGGCCATTTGTAGCACTGATCCATCCATGAGCGGTGGGACGTAAAAATACTGCAAATAGGCCAAACGTGACGCTGACTAACTACCATGTGAAGTGCTGCCTTTTTTTGTCAGTGTCAGTTTGTGTCATTTGGTATTTATGTTTCCCACTTCTGCTGCTGTTATTCGTGTTGCAGCAAATTTTTGCATTCAGATAGAGAACAGCAGAGCAACGTCTCTCCAACATACTGTGCAAGGACGCTTCAGTAACTTCTGGGTAGAGGAGTCAAACGTCACTTATTTATTTACTCAACAGTCTCCCTGAACAGTGGGCTGCACGACTCAGATACAGGCTGTCCAATTATATGCAGAATTGTTCAGAGAGCACAGAAAATGATTTTCCTCTTTCATGGCCAATAGATAGTTAATAAAATGATTTTTTTTTTTTTTAAATAAAGAGCGACTTGTCAAGAGTAAGAGATGTTCCGCTGTGCTAGATGTTAGGCCAGACTAATAAAACTATCACCAGTCAAACTGGTTATCATCTGTACAGGAAGTGACCAAATATTTTAGCACGTTCTATAACAAATCATCACATCTGATTGGAAAATGATGCAATAATGAGAAAACCCTACACATAGTACCTTCAAATTCATCTTAGGTGTCTGAGAACAGATGGTCATTTCTAGGAAACAGGAACATTTACACAGTTACAACTCACAAAAGTGCATAAATGACCACCAGAAAATGGAGGATTTGGGGAAATAGGAGATAAAAGTGAAACAAATACTTTTTTTTCTTTTTTTTTTTTGCATGAAGCTGTACTTCCTGTGAGCCTCAAGCTGTTTAAAATGCCAACCATCTGCCAAAGTAGAGAAAAGGATTAAATCAAAACTAAAAAAAAAAAAAAAAAAATTCAAGTCATTCTTCTTGTCTTACAAAGCCCGCTGTGCGCATCAGGGTGGGAGGGACTAAGCTTGTCTGTTCAACAAAGTGCTCCCAGCCCCCTTTTCCTGGATTTCAATGCCTTGGAAAAAGCTCTCATTTCATGAGTACAGTACTTCAAAATAGAAACTCAAACAAGTTTCAGCATGAATATTCAAAAAGCATAAAACATTTCATGTTTATGAGATTGGATGAACTCACTGGGAGGGTGTGTTTGCCTGTCCATTACAGGACACCTCCTGACAATAAGAAGTGAATTTCTTTGATGGTGGACAGTTGATTGAAATGCTATGCACCTGATTTCAAGCTAAAATCATACATGAATAACTAACCGGCTAGTGATGGATATAATATACAGAGGTGCAGCTAGCAGTAACTGTAAGTAACCCAAGTGAAAACAGGGGAAGTATATCAGTTACGCAGAAGCAAAAACCCACTGCGAGATGAAGATGTGAAAACTGAAGGCTAACTTAAAATTAAGACATTTACTGTATATGTGTGATAAAAGGGGATATATTCTTTGAGTCATAACCCCTGTGGTGGAAAACTGAGTACGGGAAAAAGATGATGAAAATGTATGTATCTGTGTTTGTGTTTATCAGCACACTGTTCATGCCAAGCCATAATATGTGTGTATTAATTATACTGTATGTCAATTTATGTATGCAATTTCAAGAATCTGCATCTGTGTGTGTGTGTGTGTGTGTGTGTGTGAAGATAATTAACCACAATGTCAGAATATATGTGTTTTTGTGTGTGTGTATACGTGTGATAGCTGGTACATTAAAAACCAGCAGGTGCTGCAGTTAAGTGAGGCCCAAGAAGAGCCAATGACCAACACAGAGGGCCGTGTCGGTAATCCTGGTGTGCATCGGATCCTGACTGGACCGAACCTGGCTCCTCTAGGTGAGCTGGTGTGGTGCCTCTAGCATCTCCATCAGGAAGGTGTCAATGGGCGTATCACCAATCAGTTTAAAGAAGAACAGGTGCTCCAGGCACTTTAGACCAATGGAGCGCAGTGCTGGGAGCCTGAGGAGGAGCTTTGCAAACCTGGATGACGGAGGGAAGGGTAAGAAGGAGAACAGTGTGAGAAATGACCCCAGACCTTCTCTTCTAGTCATCATGTGAACTGAAATTCAGAAAATTCTTAGAAATCATAATTCCTCATAGTAATAGCAGAAAGCATTGTGGAAATGTAACTTACTAGAGTGGAAGTAACTGCAGCAGATTGTGAAATCATGTAGGCTGGGATTGAGGTAATGCATTCCTAAACATGCTATATGACAGTGTACAGCTCGCAACAATTGTCCACTAACAAATTATCTCTCATGTTGGTTTGCAAATGAAATGTACAGTTTGAATCTGTGTTAAGTCACCAGGTTTGTTTAATAAAATACAAGCACAAGAAAAGAAGAAAATTAGTTTTTTAAATTAGAAATATCTACAAGTGTGCAACAGCAGCAGTTATGCTCTGTAACAGTATCTTAAAAATAAGTATCAAGAGACAATTGTCCAGTGTGTTGAGTGACCGACCATTAAATCAGAGTTCACAAGATCAAGGCTCTGGGCAGAATCTACTGCATCAGCTCTTCTGTGCTGCAGTAACTGTTATAGCTGCAGAGCTGAATTTTATGAAACTGTGTGGACAAGTTTCAGCAGCAGTGCCATCTGACACAAGCGATGCCCTTACTTCTGCCTTGTGTGTTGAAGACCTACCTGCCCTGTTGATCGGGGTATTTCTGTTTGCAGTAAGCCTCAAGAGATGCATACACCCTCTCTCTCAGGAGCTCCACCTCGCTGGGGTTGGACAAACCCTTGGCATCTTCAGGTGGAGACAGAGAACATTTACAAAATTTCTACATTGTAATGAAACACATTTCCCATTATTCCTATTTCAAATTTCAAATCAGTTTTCCATACATTAATTCGTCCCCTTTGTTTTGGTGCCCCTAATATTGTAATGGTTTTCAACGTTCAACCTGACGGCCTACCAGGGTTGAATAGGATGATTGCTCGAAGGCAGCCCAGCTCTGTCTTGTCCATTTGCATGTCTCTCATCTTGCTTACGAGCTCTGTCAAAACCCTAAATAAAGGAAAGGAGATATGCAGAGAAAAGTTCCATTTTGAAACAGTAGGACAATGCCAGATTGTGGAAGACAGAAGCAGCATGGGACGAAGATAAGAAGGAAAAAGAGTGGGAAAGCAATAAAAAAAAAAAAATAAGAGAAAGACAGGACGGGAAGAAGAGAGTAAGAACAACAGAGAGAGACCAGACTCCATAATCATACATTGTTATTTAAGGCTACTGTAATGACTTTATGCCCCAAATAATTATGACGTGGCTGAACTGCTGATTCTGCAGAGAGAAAAACAAACAAAAGAAATGTGAAAACTGACCAGAGCAGCAAACTGCTCTTTCTGGCTGTGGCTGGTTCTGTTTCGGTTTGTTTTCCTACTTCACAGTTTGTTTGATGCATAATTAGCTGTGTTATCAAATGCATAAAAGTCGTGAAAATGGCTGCCAAATGTAGAAGTCTACCATGGCTGGAGAAGGAAAAGGTTAGTAGTTTCTTATTTTAGGCTTAAATATAGTTTTGTCCTCAGCTGATGATTCCAAAGAAGTATGAGCACATGGCAAGGTTCAGGTGGTAAACACATATTTTAATTTTTCAAGCACTAACACACAATTCTGCTTTTATATTTGTCACTCAGAAAAGAAAAAAAAGACACAAAAATGTATATGTTTATTGCCTTTTTAAAAATATATTTTAAGGACTTAAAACTGTCTTATTTCAATATAAGTAACGAGTTTAGTCAAACAATCCCTTTAAAAACGTTACTGTGTGTCTATCAAGAATGACAAGCGGGCCACAACAAGCTGTGTTTGCATAACTGGATGCTCTGCTTTGTACTTTAAGCAGCATCCACTCATCCGTCACAAATCTTGAAACATCACAACCTACTACAACAGGTATTCATTTATTAAAGAACAAAGCAAGCAACCAACAAAAACTAAATATGTCACAAACAGACTAAACACCAAAAAGTGCATTTCACCAACTTACCATCATTTAAGTACATTTTATTGAAAGCTTTATTAGACGCGGTGCACAATAATACAGAAAGCAGTTTGGTGTGAGCCATTACGTGTGCCCCTGTCAGGAATAAGACTTGAGCGAAAGTGGAGAAGAATACAAGCCAGGGAGTGGGGGTTGAGAGAAGTGATGACCATCAGGGACTGCTTATTTGCTACTCCATCATCTCTGATCAGATATTAACATCTGTTCTTAATCATGTGGATTTTAAGAGACATTGCCAAGCCCAAAATAAAGCGCATTGCAAAATCAAGGTTTGTTTTATACAAACCAGCACAGCGGATAAATGTTTTATTCATTTTTAGTTGCGAAAGTAGAGGAAAGTAGGAGTGATTGTGGTACACACCCAGAGTCCATGTCATTAATGTTGTAAAATGGGTATTTCCATCACAGAGGGAGTATTATTGCTCAGGGCCAACATCACCACCAGAAGACTCAACAGTAAGTTAGGGATCTTTGGTAAAACAATTGCATCTTATCATTGGTGGCCTGGGAAAGCTAGCTTCACAAAGCCTGTCCGCACATTATGTTTTGCTCATCATGGTTTGTAAGTCTCAACAAGCATTTCATTCGGTCAGAAAAGGCATTTTCAAAGGGCACAAGATTGTGCAGGCGATTGGATGCAGTCAAAGCCACAAAACAAAATATGGTTTCAAACCACACCCACATAGTCACGGAGTGACTGGGTCAAATAATTCTCTGTGAATGTTGCTCTGTCTTATATATCACAGCAGGAACTGGCTGTTGCAAAGCTGCAGAAAAAGCCTACAAGCATCAGCCTTTTAGTTGTCGCTGTTGTGTTGGTTTCCATGTTGACTCAAAGAGGAGGGGTTTAAGAAAAGTGTTTGTGTAGTGGCGTAATTACCTGTCAAATATGGCCCCAACCTCGGCATTGTGCGCCCTGTGTATTCAATCACAATGTGTTATTACAACGTCATTACACAGTTACATTGCTATTACAGTATTAGGTCTGCTTTCTGAGCCCTTCATTTGTACAGAGAGTCTACGCTTACAGAGGATTTAACATGCTAAAATTTTTAGTTTTATAATCTACTTTCTGCGACATTTTAAGCTGTTCTAAAACAAGACTCCATGGAGATTTGGCATGTCTGGGCCTTAAGTTTGTTTTATCTTGCACCTGCACCCAAACACTATTATTGTTATTATACTGCTACATATGGATAAATGTGGACCTCTGATAAACACGTAATCAGATTTATGACATCATGAACTGCAATTTTTCATTTATATTCACATGTATTAAAATAAGCAGAAAGGAGGTTATGATAATTCTTATAAGCCAAATGCATAACAGCAGGAAACCATTAGTGCACAAGAAACCGTTCTTAAGTGGAAAAACCAAATCCCTCAACTTTTAATAGGTGTTCCCAGCTGAATGTTTATACATCATGAAAAGTAATTTCAGAAATTTCACGAAACTGTGGCTATTGTGTAAGAAACAGGGGCTCGAAGTGCAAAGTACAACATTAAAGACAAGAAATTAACAACAAGCAAAACGAGTGTGTATTCTTTCTCTGTATGCCCATTACAGGTTGTCATACTTCCTGTGTGTATGTTAATGACAGCAGACACGTAGCCTCTCCAGTCTGTAGAGCATTTTTCTAAAAATTGGCGTTTTCTCTTTTTTCAGTTTGTGTTGTAAAACATTTTCTGTTGTTCTTCTGTTTGTTTGTTTGTTTTTCATTTTACTTTTTTTTTCTTTGTTTACATGCTTAGTTAATGCTTGTTGTGTTTTGCACTTCAGGGCCTCTAAAGTAAGAAGTCAAACAAATGGCAGTCTGTGACTTTATTTTTTCTTACATTACATTTATTATCCTCCATATAAAATATAGTTCTGTAGCTTCAAACAGATGCTGATGCCAAGCTGAGACAGAAGCCTGCTGCTAGAAGAGAGCGATGCTACGAGAAGATTGTCAGAAAAATCATTGAGCCATTTGCCATGAGCCCAGTTAGCTTGCTTTAAACCTGACTTGATTGGTAGGCAACATTAACTGTTTAGAACAATGCAATTACTGTGTAATTAACAGTGAATTAACACGTTGTGATGATGTTGGGGTTTTATATAAAATTTAAAGATCTGCAGTATTGCTTATGATCAGGGCAAGTGAAAATGTAATGTAAAACACTCAAAGCAGTTGAAATATCTTAAAACCTGACAGTGGAGTCTGTCCACAAATAAAGCAATAACATCCCATTATGACATCAACCAGCATTTATTACGACTTAAGTGTCGCACCTCAATAATATATCAAAATACAAAGAAGTAAACAGTTACGTCCTAACAAAGAAAAACTAAACAAAAAAACTCTTTATTGGTTTCTAGCAACATATCAAAAAAAATTTAAGTTTAAAGTAATAACTGATGGTTGATGCCATATTGCTGAAAGCTAGAAAGGCCATGGCTGTATGTTTTTAGATTTGTAGTATTTTGTGTTCAACTGATGATTTAATAGGTAGTTTGAGATCTCAGATTTAATTGGCTGTTTTACATGGAGCTGTATATGATTCTGCACTGACACTACACCTGTGGTCAGCAATCATATAGTAGTCTACAATAACATTTCTCTACAATTACTTATTGTGCCTTTGACCTTAGATAGATATAAAAACTGAAAGCGATTGCCTCAAGGCTGCTAATCACAGAAAACTACCCAAAATTGGTGCACTTGGATGTAATAAATAATGAAACCGCAATTATTTTTTTAATGCAAAACCAAAAGCTCCTTAGGTGAAGATGACAAAACAAAATATACATACCATGGCCTCTACAACATTCTGCCAATAATGGGATGTAAATTTATACACTAACACATTTCATGTTATTTTTTTATATAATTTGAATCTGACCATTTTAAAGGGACATTCTTATTAGATATCCGCACGTTAGTATTGTACATTTGCCAGCCATTATCACATTATCAAGTGCTCCGATGGGCGCTATGCCACTGAGTGTGTGTGTGTGGGTGCGCATGCATGTCTATGGGTAAGCATTAGTCACCAGCCTCCCTGGCATGCACCGTCATCCTACAGGCAGCACTAAAGAAGCCAATGCAGAACACAGCAGCTGCAGCCAACCAAAGGTGAAGACACCGTATCCTAAATTTAGATTATAAAAACACAGTGAACGTGAAACCATCAGAGAGAAAAAAAATAAATTAATATGGATAAATGAAGGCAAAAAGTGTTCTTCCTTTCTTCACATAGCTTTCAGAACTGATGTGAATTAACCAGAGAAATTCAAAAGGGGATTGTTGATTTTATTTGGCTTTTTGGGATCATTTGATTTTTTGGCTAACAGCTTGTGATCCTAACACTGTGTAGAAGTTCGTTCTATGCAATTTGTTTTTAAAAATAAAGTAAAAACATCTCTAAAACAAACCCTCCAGTGAACACAATGTTGTATTGCTGCATGTCATCTCCAACTGGATCACCCAGCCAAACTCCTGGGTGGTGGGAAAAATCCCAAGTGTCGGTGTTACTCTGTTTGTGCAGACATACATCTGAGTATTACCTGTCAAAGATGGCTCCAACACCTGCACTGTGGGCACTGTTCCTGTGGACATGCAGACCAGTGGCCAGTAAAATCCCATCCTTCACCGAGATGGAGCGATGGGAGAACGATGCGATCAGGAGTTCATTCCAGCCTGTTGAAAGGTTGCAATTTTAGCACTTTTAATGAATCAAAATGTCTACATATTATACAAATGCGCTGTTTGTTTCAGGTTTGCTAATATTCCTGGTCTAAATAAACTAATTAAAGATCTTTTAAAAAACACCTACTGTCTATATTTTACAACTGTTTAGCCATATTAGGATGTAGTACTAACATGTATCACCTGAGGCTAAAGTTAAAAACATTACTACATGAACTACATGCATAGATCAAACCTTCTTTAACATTTTGAGATTGTAGGACAGAGGAGAAAAAAAAAGAACGATCCCAGTCATTAAAGTTTGTAGATCCTATTTAGCTCTATCTGAAAGACAAAAAGATTTACACTATAGTTCCTCATCATATCAATATAAAAAAAAAAAACAAAGCTAACAACATACAGTGGGTTATCACTGTGCAAGGTACACCTGCACAACATTACAGTTGCAAAGCCTTGCAAACAAACTATGTTAATATTCAGTTGTGCTTGACAATGTGTTCAAGACAAGTTCATTTAAAGCTCCAGTTTTCGTGGTGTAAATGGTTTTATTATAATAATATTTAATGCCTCACAGTGTCTGCTTTGTCCACTCTTCTTTACATACATTACAGGGTTCAAATGTTGTACTGGGAGTTGTATGAAGGTATGACAGGCGTTTTTGCAGAACTGCAGAAAACCCTGAAAGCTTAGATTGTGTCAGCACTGAACATATTCTAACTTAGCATTGACAGACCATATTTCCAGCTTACGTCCATTTTATTTCAATGCTGTGCAAGTGCAAGTTTAAACTTTAAGACCACTGTCAAGAAGGATAACCATTGTTTGCATTAAACCATTTTTTTCTGCATTTAAAAAAAAAAGGAGGGGGGGTGCTCGGATTGCATTCTTGCATTAGCTGACAATAAACAATGTTGGCAATCACCAGTGATTCATCGAACGTTTTCATGTCAGACTGGCTTACCTGCACGTAGCAAGATGACCTGATCGTCCAGTGGCAGCTCAGAGAAGTGAGGGATCCTCTTGGCCCACTCCACCAGGGTGAAGAGCTGCTTGTCTGCTGCCTGACAGATGTTGGTGACAGGATCGTTGGGCTGAAATAAACAGATTGCTGATAAGGATTTCATCACCACTTCACCATATTACTCATACCTGCAGCCTCAACAAACACATAAACTGGCAATCACATTATGTATTCAAACTGCATCTGTAAGTGAATTGGATAATACTTTAAACACAGCACCTCTAAACAACACAGCGTGTGGCTAATTTCTACCACCCCGACTACTCACAGAGCTGCCGCCTGAGCTTCCATCTGCATGAAGCTCTGTCTTTTGCTCTACAGCCATCTCTGCTTCCAAAATCTTCTCTACTGGCATCTCCTCGTTCACTGCACTCGTCGACTCCACCTCACCTTCTCGATCCTTGTTCCTCTGCCGCTCCTCTTGGACAGCTGCAGGGCAAGGGATTAGGGTGTGGAGAGAGGAAGACAGGGCGAAACAATAAAGAATAAGAAAGAGGAGGAAGAGGGGGAAAAAAGACAAAGAAGAACAGGAAGTAAAAAAAAAATATGGGTGATTAGAATGGGTGAATGGATGTCAATATGAAAAGAAAGAATTAGGAAAAGTGCAGGAGCAAAGGAATGTATAAGTAAGCAAAAAGGCAGGCATGAGTGGAGAACAGCAGGATGAATAATAAAGATGTGTGCCAACACACAACAGAATAGACAAAGTGAAAGAAGCGAATTGAAAAATAACAGTGAATGTGTGAACAATAAAGATGAGAAAGGAGGATTGGTGCAGAAAGAGGTGTGCATACAGAAAAAAAAAAAAGCAAAAGGAACAAGGAAATGTAAGAGTAGGATCAAAAATAATGAAAAAAAATGCAAAATTAAAAAAAAAAAAAAAAAGTGGGGCAAAAGAGACACATGTGCAGTTCATGATAAAAAAAAAGTCTTCCGTACTGTCTTTCATACTTGAAATGAACCATTAAAGACATACACAGTATAAATTATTATTAATAATAACTAACTGTTTTAAAGGACATTCAAAAAGAAATTACAAAAAGGTGGTATTGTGAAAGTGGAAATTTTTAAAAACTTAATTTTAACTTAACTTGCATTTAAAGTGTTTTGTTTCTTTTCCTTATCCAGATAAAAGGAATCAGGGTTTCTTTTTTAAAGCAGTTCAAACAAACCAAGTTACTACAGAAAGCAATCAAGTAAAGGCAATAAAGACAACTCCATTCCTCGAGGTTCCTGTGTAGACACTTTACTACACACTAACCCAATTTTGACAACCCAAAAGTAAGTAGACAAATTAAACAAACATAAAGTCATGTTGTGGCAAATCATTTGTAATCCAAAGGTCCAGCAGTCTTCGCCGTCAAACCACCACCCATAGATATCAGCAGAAACAGGCTGAGGTTATGTGAGAGTCAAGAACAGCCTAAACTTGGCTGCTTTATGCAAACACCAACAAGTTCTATCATACTGATAGTATTAAACAAATTTTGCCATTACTTGAATGGCAAAAAACAGAATCTATGAAGGTGCAGCGATATAAGTGATGCCATTCCTAATGTACGTAGAACTCAAATACCAAATTTTCTTGGATTGGGCTTTAAAAACCAGCATGTAGAAAGTGTCTTAACAAAGTCTCTGTCAAGAAAAAATACTGCTTGATTTCACCAACAAACCTTATTGGTCACCGTGTCTGTAAGTGACGGAGAAACAGAAACGAAAAGCCAGAGGGCACTGATTTAGAAAAGTGGGCTTGTAACACTTTGGATGTCAACATTGGCTTGAAAATCTGCCAGAAATTCAATTAGCATTTATTCTTGCGCTACCAAAGTATCAAAGAATGCCTAAAAATGGACATTTCTGCTTCTGAACAGATGTGGAACAGCTCTGTGGCTGACTGTACTAACTGTGGCAATACTGGGCAGCATCCAGATGGGAGTAAACAATAAGTAACTTCTAAGTGAAGTAGGGTGATGATTAAAAGAAGCGTGCATACTCAATAAACTCTCCCTGCATCCATAAAGGTTAAAAAACACATGGCGAAGTAATTCAAGGCTGGCACTGGTCCACCTCTGAGCACTGGCAAGAAGTTAACATTTTATCTAAGTCCTACTAATCGAAGGGCAAAGTAATATCTCTCTGCTTCTTGTGCACTCATACAGACACAGACACACCCCTCCCTCCCTCTTCTCCTTACATCTGTCGTTCATCTTGGCCACTACAGAAGGAGGGAGGGGGAGAGAGAGAACGAGAGGAAACAAAAAGAGGAAGAGAGGGGGAAAGGGGTTAGTGTTTACAAGGCTTACCCACCCCCATCTCCCTCTCCATCACTCTTTACTCGTTCTTTCTCTCCTCTACTGTACAAATATTCTCAGACATGGAATATGTAACACGGCTGCTTTGTCAAGCTTTGTATCACTCACACATGAATCACTAAAAGGCTCTACTAGCACATTCCAAGACTTAGATATGGAATATGTGGCCTTCAACGCCCAAGACTGGACTTTACAAGGGGTGTCATATTTGTGATGTACCTTAATGGTCCTGTTAAGCTGCCAGGCTGTCACATATTCAGTGCAAAGTGCAAGTGACTCTGATCAGTTTTAAACCAATTTCCAGCCATTTTTGCAAAATATTCAAAACCATTCCTCTCTGCAGTCAAACCAGTGGCTTCTGAATGATGTCTGGGATTAAATCACGGCTTCGTAAAAACTACTAGCCAGGCAGTCTTGATTGGTGAGCAAACTTAATGTAGAATAATCTTGTGTGAATGGGTCATCATTTTCTGCATGCCTATCCAACTGCAGTCTTTTAGACTTGTGCAGTGTTGAAAGTAATACAGAAACTCACCGATCTAGTAAGACTGCTGTCGTGAATTTTAATGATGTGACCTGGGTGTGTATTCCAAGACGAGATTGACATGTTAAATTAGTGCCAGATTAAGGGAAAGCGGTGTAGGTTTGAAATGGGCTTTACTTAAACTTTCTTGGGTAAAAATGCACAAGAAAAATATCCCTAATTATACTATATATTTAATACAATCTACAGATAAAGGAGGACAAATCATTTACAGTGTTTAGATTTACAGATTGAGCCTTTGCAGACTACACCTAAACTACCTGCTAGAGACAGCAGCTGACCTGAATGTACCCTTCATCTTTGTTGACAACACCGCACACACATCCAATCTACGTATTCAATATTTACTTATGATCAACCTATGATAAACGTTACACTGTAACATACAAGTGAATTCAGTCTGAACCTAATAACATGGCATAAGAAAGCACAATACAGTTAGCTCCTAATTACAGTGCTCAACTCTAAGAGACTTAGCAGCAGATAATCTCAGATGGACTGGCTTAAAGTGGATCGAGCATGATTTTCAGTGTTAAGACACTTGTAAAATGCAGGATACAGATCAGACCTCATTATTAAAGTAAAACACTCCGAGCATTACATGAATAAAATTAGCTATATCAGATCACTGTATTATAGGATCCTCAAGCGTTTGTCTTAAGCAACACCTGGAGTTTGACATTTAATTTTAAACACAACAGGAATCTTTTTAACAGTGTAATTACGATGGACGCAATGACAATGTTTAGTATAGATCAACATCAAAAAAAATGTGTAAGGGCAGTAAATAACTTTTAGGTACTAAAAATAGCTATTGTGCACTGGATTTTCAAGAGGGTGTGAAAGGGCCTTCAAAAAGGGAGACACGTGATGACCTAAAATTAAACTTTAAAATGCTGACTTTGAACAAAGCAACTCCTGAGCTGGTAGACAGTCAGTGTATGTGTAGGTGTAAAGGAGAGTGAGGTTATTGAAACTAGCTTACCAAATGACATTTTCAAATCCAGTTTAAGTCATTATGTGCATGTGAAAATGCACCACTTGTTGTGTTTAATTCTAGAATCAGTTGCATGGAAAGAAGTCACGGAGGCAGAATTTTTATAGGAAGCACAGAAAGGGTTGAGAACAGGCTATCTACAGGGACTGGTTCCTGCTTGCTCACCTTCTCTCTTCATGCCCATCGCCAGGCACTTCTGGTAGCGGCAGTACTGGCAGCGGTTCCTCTGTCTCTTGTCCACCATACAGTCTTTATTGTCCCGACAGGTGTAGGTCAGGTCTTTGCGCACTGTTCGCTTGAAGAAGCCTTTGCAGCCCTCACAGCTGTATACACCATAGTGCTTACCTGCAGGTGTGGGAAGGAGGAAAGCAAAGAGCCAAAAAATTCAGGAAAAAAAGGAATGACATTATCTTTGGGCCTCTGACCAACTTTTTAATTGCTTACACTAAAAAGACCAAATTCAAAGGCAACACGCAGGCAAGAGTTCCACTGCAGTTGTCCACTCACCAGAGGATCTGTCTCCACAGATGGAACAAAGGCGTTTCTGGGAAAGCATTGGCCCTGGGCTGTGAGATGACAACTGCTTCAAGCCCAATGGAGGTTTCACGTCGTCAGAGCTGCTCACTGCATGGAGTCCTGACATAGACACTGTCGAGTTGATCTGAAAAACAACAGAAGAGAAGGTAAACACAACAACACCAAGAACATAGAATTAACATAAGCCTCTGTTTTTAGAGTTTTTCCAGTTTCTCAGTGTCTCCAAACCCCTCCTCTGTCTCGAACAAACCAGCAAACACAGAGAAGACAACTGATGTTTCAAGACAACTGGCATGTAAATACCAGGACAAACAGATGGAAGAATGAAGAGCTTTATATTCTAATATGCTTTAATGTTAACCATTGAAATGAGGCTTTGAATAAGTTAGATTGGTTGTCACTTTGGTTGTAGCAAGCAGTAGCCAAAAGGTAATATGTGACGTCTTTGTATTCTATTCTATCCTAATACTTTTCAGTTGATTATTTTATTTCTTTTCTCCAGTGCTTCTGAAATGAAAATTCTTTTTAAGAATACTTCCCAGAAAAAATGCTAACAGAAATTTCCAGGTGTCCTGGAGCTCTACATTATTCTCCAACATTAAAATATACTTTTCTTTTTAAAAAGACAAATTGTTTTGACACTGACACCTACACACCCCTGTGTTGCTAACTGGAACACAGTGACTGGGGTTTTAAACTGTACAAAAACATGAACATTAAAGTAAAATGTGATCTGTGCTGAATTACCTGGGGGCTGCTAATTGGGCCGTAACCCACTGACGGTGTGCCTGGCAGGCAGGGTGAGCCCAGTGAAGAGCTGATAACGGAAAAGGGGGAGCCGATGCTACTGATGGGGCTGTTTACTCCTGTGGTGGTGATGGGAGGCAGGGAGGTCATGGAAGCCGCCGCTGAGGGAACCAGTGGAGGCGAGCGCTGGCCCGATGGAGGGGAGGACACAGACGAACTGTCTGGACTGCGAGAATCTGACAGAGAAGGTCGGAGTGAGTTTGATGGTGTAAAAAAAACCTAAATTCACAACTAGATGGGCTTTCTGAGTGACGCCAGAAGTGACGTGCATGCTGAAAAATAATAATCGGAATACATGACAGCCTATGAGAAGACCAATTTGTGGAGCTGTTTTGAATCTAAAACTGCATAAATCACAAAACTAATGGGCGGAAAATGTTTCTTATCCCAAGAATTACACTCATCGTTAGCTGAGCATGTAAAGGTGCAGCTAACTGGTCAAAGCCTGGATTTAATGACGGCTGTGGGTGGTTTTACACTGAAACTGCTGGAATAAACCCCTGTTTGAAGAGCAGCTCACACTATTACTTTGTGTTTACAGCCCTTTATTTAATACTGTTCAAAGCTGTCAGACTGTGTATTTGTAGCACATTTAGAGTTTCAGTACAGGACTTGGTAACAACTGCTACGAGAATGGCTCCGTTGTTGCATAAATGTAACACATCTGTTGCACAAGGCTGTGAGGTATATTCTGAGGGAGGAGAAGGGTTTTCATATATAGTAATGCCATCATTATAATAATCAGAATAACTGAGTGTTAACTTGTGCAGCCATCAAACAATACAGGAAGCTAATACAGTAAATGCCAACATGCTTTTAACCTGTGCTGTCATTGCTATGACCTGCCGCATTATACCTAAAAAAGCCTAAAAGCAGCTTAATTTTTAAATGTTGAAAACGTTCATAACCATGAGATCATGACACAACACTGTGGCTGCTTCTATTCTACCTCTCGGCTGTGCACTAATCCTTGATGGTTTTAAAGCATCCCATGTAACCAGTCAGTAAAGAGGATGCTTGTTTGAATGAAAGCATCTCAGTTTTTTTCTATTGACAACAGGTGACACACTCAGACACAAATATGCTACTTCAATTATGAATTGAATACCAGCTGTAAAAATAATAATAATAATAATAATAAAAATCATCACAAGGAACTACTTATCCTCAGGCCCATCGGGTATATTTCCAGTGGGGTAAATCACATGTTTCAGGTTTGCACGAACTGATTGCATTTTAGACAAAAACAAGACAAATGCAAGTCTAGCATACACACACTGACAACTGAACAATACAGTGCTGTCCCTGTTCTAACCTCTACTGAGGCAAAGGACACTTATTTGCAAAACATTCTCACTGTACAAAGAAATTTTTGTCTCACAGTAAATTGTGCTTTGCTTTAACACTGAATATGTTGACTAATAAAATATTCTGGAAACTAAAATTGAATTCTTTTTTCTGTTTTTTCACACAGAAAAGAGAATTTCCTTACCTTGGAAGTGTATTTGTTCTATCTGACTGGTGTGCAGCTAAGACAAGGAAATTTAGTTCATTTTATTTCACTTTTCTAGAAACAATTTTTTGGTTCTGTAATCTGAATGTGGTATATTTTGGTGCTTTTTGGGTCAGACTTTCAGTAATAACAGGCTTTAATTCCACGCTGGTAGATAAAACCCGTAGTATTTTCCTCCAGCCGTCCTAAAATGTGACACTTTCTTCTGCAGCTGGCTGTGCTGCATTCTCACTGCTTCACAATGTGCACTTGGTTGTCATCTGATCTAATCTACTTTTCTCAGAAAGAAATCAGCCAATCATGCGCTGTCACAAAGCATCTACTGCATTCCACGGGGAACATTGCTCACAACGCCTATCAAATCAACATTTCTCTTTTATGCAAACTCCTTCTTCCTCACTAGGGTACATCAGTTTCTCTCATTGATAAAGTTATGCACAGCACAATACCAACACTGGCATAGTTTGTCATTATGCTTCTGGTGCAGGAACGGAGGTTCAAAGTGCTGATACTGTAATTTTCTTTAGATAAACGGTTAATATACACTAGGAATGCACTGTATGCTTTTTTAGAGCACATCAGCACCTTACCAGCAACCATGATTAAGACAGAGACAACATTTTGAAGATGTTGGATTAAATATCAAAATGAGGTTTTCATAGTTTTGTTGTTGTTGGAGTATTTGGGTTTTGTTCTTGCTGAAAAGACACATTGTTCAGGCAAATAGGAAACATAAATGCAAAAAATAAAAGCTATATTCAAACCCACTTTGGTTTGGAGGAATGGTGAGAGGAAAATGTGGACAACTGACCCCGACTGACTTTTTTCCATGACTGTATGATCTGCAGGAATAAGGACAACTGTGGCGGCTGTAACATGTGTGTCTGTTGTTCTTGGACTGGTTTGTGTTTCAGCATAAGTCATATCTCATAACCCTGACTATACAACAGCCATTACAACAAATCTGCAAGCATGATTTGTAAATCTGGAGCTGTTACTGTTCTAACATTAGTATCTGCATGCAGTGTTTTCGGGACGATCAGATTGTTGCATTGCTGATTAATAAATCTATGCCGATTTTGTTTTTTTTTTTACTCACCTCTACTGTCTCCCATGATGGTGGCTGGGACACCGGGGCTGGCTGGCAGCTGTAAGCCGACGTGCTTCCGTCTCTAACAGCCCGCTATCAAACTCTAGACCGCGGACTGAGGCCCGGGCCGGAGTTGTTTAGGGAAACCAAAAACGGGTCTGAAATTCCAACACAAGAAAGAGCACCGTGTAAGATAATGGTGTGGCACAGAGCGCCCATTTAGACAGAAAACTGCAAAACAGCGCGAACGTCTCTCAGTCCTTTGCAGTGTTGGTAGTTATGTGTCTGCTTGTCAGTCGAAATATTTGTGCATTTGATGCCTTTTTTGACATTTTATGTAACGTTACAGCAGGACGTTGCAAAGCAGCCAGCTGCTCAGCTGATGCCAAGATTGTCTTGTCCTGGTACAGTACAGGGCGAAGACATTGTGTTACTTGGCAAACAACTATTGATACCAAAACACCGACTGCGTTATTTTTGGTGAACTCCCTCAATAAAATGTCCTGCACCATCACACAGTGGAGAAAGCCCAGACAGATGGCAACAGACGGTCGTTCCTGAGGCTGGCTAACGTTAGCAATCACATAGCTCGTAAACTAACCTAGCTAAGTTAAAACGTCTGTGCCTACCGTGAAGCTAAGTCACTTGTGTTCGGCGTGTACATCAAACTGTAATTACATATCTCAGCACAACGTGTAACCCCCAACAAACCTTTCATGTTACTTTTGGCGGAAATCATGCTCAATCTGGGTTAAGTTGGCAAAACAAGCTAGGCGCTACGGCTAACTACGTTTAGCCGCCTAACTTAGCTAGCAAGCTAGTTAGCCCGACTGCATCGGAGGAGAGCTGGAGAGTCAAGAACAAACCAGTCTACCACCGCTTGTTCCGCCTCTATCTCCGTCTCCTGTTCGCGGAACAGCTACGCAATGCAAAGAGACATTTCGTGCAGATAAATATGAATTACTGACGGTTTAGCGGCACAGCTTCTTCGCATGAAAAGATGTGGCGACTAGGCCCCGTGCGTGTCTGTCTCTCCCCCCACTTTGCCTCGTAGTCAACCCTCCCTCCCCCTGCAAGGATGAAAACATGATGATGGTGGAGGATTTGGCTCAGCGCTCTCTTACAGTCGAACATTGGCCCCGAATCACTGCGAAAACGCCGCAGCGTGTCTCCTCAAGGCAGGAGACGGGTTGCGCGGTCATGTTGTGCCTCACATGTCCCCGACTGAGGGAGACGCATCCAGTGCAGGAGGTCAGGAGGTCAAGACAAGTTCAGCTCAGTGTGTCAGTCGCTGTAAAGGTTATTGGCGGACACTGGCGCTGTGGTGGACCTGCTGCACTGGAGAACAAGCCGGTGTGATCAGTCCTGTGCTCTCATCCTGTTCTTTCAGATCTGTTAGCTGTTTTTCTCTGTTATTGCAGGAGGGGCAGACATGTACAGAAGGGATGGATGTCTGGAGGATGTAGTTAAGGGATCCCTCATCACAGCAAAGGGAAGAGCCTCATTTTTCTTTGGGGTGACATCAAGCTAAAGTCACATGTTTAGAAAAATAAATAAAACCTGGCTCTGCAATTTATAGGGCTTGTGTTTGCTCATATTTACCCTTAATTCACTGTAAACATAAATGTACAGTGTTTGCTCTATTATTGTGAAATCAGCTTATTCTTAATTTAAAATAAAGCAGAACTTCATCAGGAAATTCTTGTGGCAAATATTGCTCAGAAAAAAAATAAAATTGAAAAAAAAACAACAACAAGAGAATAAACGCAGAGCCTACTAGAGTGGCAAAAAAGTGCAAAACATGAGTAAAAATAAAAACAATCAAGCTAAAATTAAACCTAGAAAAGAAAAGTAAGAAGTAATACTGACAATGATACTGAAGTAATAAAGTAATGTTGCACATGATCATGAAATTTTGCATGTGATAATTAAATATTGCATATAATAGTGAAATATTGCACTCAAAATTGAAATATTGCACCTGAAAGTGAAATACTGCACACAATACTGAAACTGATGTGCGTGTTCTATCGAGAAAGCAAATCATATTAATGTTAATCTAAAATTTCAGCTGGAGTTATACAGTTGATAAAAAAAAAAACCCTCCTGTGGCGTTCTGTGGTGCACCTCGGTGGTCTCAGTCTACTGCTGAAGGTGCTCTGAACATTATTTAAGCTTTAATGATCATTTATATTGTCAACAGCTACTGTGTTGGTGCATATTTTAATTCAGTCTGATACAATCTGATCATTAGATTTTTTTTTTTCTTTAAGTCCTGAGTATAAAGACTAATGTTGGGTTACATTTATGACTCTGATCCTACAGAATGTTTTCTAACTTTCTGTATTTTATTGAAAATAGTCATTAATAGAATGATGTTTTGCTGTTTATGATTCCAATAGTATGTGGGGAATGTAAGTAGTTGTTGAGTTACAGCTACTCCTTATCTAAGATGGCATCTCGATGTAACAAACCATTTCCTGTTGAAAGTGTTGCACCAAAACATTACAAATAAATGTGTTTTTGCAAGTGAGACGGTGTCTGGGAGTCTGTTTGGAAGTTTTCAGTATTAAGCAATCTATCACTGATGTCTGTATTAATGTGCAGCCTGCCTGAGAATGACCTGTACATTTTATAAAAACAAGAAAAAAATAAAAATTATACAAAAATGTATTAATGTATTTGAACCGAGACGCTCAGGAATCAACAAAATACCTCACCCTAGCTGCTGTCAAGTGTACTCTGAGTGTTATTTTGAACACAGTGTTGTTTATCTAAATTATTATTATTGTTATAATTACTGCCACTTAATATCAGCAAGATTTTATTGTTCCTCTAAATGATTCGACACAAATATTAGAGTGTTAAAAACGTAATTCTTGCATCACTAATGAAGACAACAATAGTAATCGAACACATAAAAGTGTATGAAAATTTGTTTTGCAGGTGCAAATATACACTAATAATTTAGTCTTCCTGGTAATAATACAATCTTTATCGTCATCTACTCTTTTAGGATAGTCGAGAGCAACAGACTTTGTATCCATCATGAACCAGCAGTTTAGTGTCTCAAAGTGTCCCTTGTATTTTTCACTGCTGTATTCAGATATTTTTAAAAATAATGACCTATTAATTTTTCTAACGACTTGACCATTACTAAACATACATTTTCAGGAAAAAAAAAAAAGTGCCACTACTGGTCAGTTCAAGATTTGGTTTTCGCAGTGAATTTCAGTTTACATCCTGTGTTTCCTTTTGTCTCTCAATAATATCATCGTTGTATCAAAGTCAGTTTCTTGTTTTCAGTTTACAGACCTGCCTTGTTTCAAAAATGGCTTCTAGGAAAAAAAGTAAAGCAGGATGATAACATTTTCCATGATTTCACTGGTTGCTGCTTCCCCGTTGTGAGGTAGTTTTGGTGTTTCCAGAAGATTTTTGATGCTTTATCACCCTCAAGGGGATTAAAATGGCATTACAAAACAACACATGGACCCTCACTTCACTGAAGTACTTATCATTTTTTTAGGGTAAATACTCATTTTTACCTAATCCCCATCATGCAATTATTTTATTAAAGACATTAAAAACATCACACTGGCTAACTATTTAACAAATTAAACATCTGTGTACATTTTTAGTGGGTTCAGGCGGCCATTGTTGCCCATTTATTTACTACATGCTTCTGTTGTCAAGCTTCCATTATTTTTAAAGTTGACTGATTATGATACAAAGAAATGTGTTCTTCCTAATCTGTCTCCCAAATGATGTGGAATTTTCTCCAGTTCTTTTTTTTTTTTTTAACATTATGATGTTGACTCACAGGTTAAGTAATTGATAAGGGGGGGTAAAAGTTGGAAGTTCTAAGGTAAATGGATTTTAACTGTTTTACTTTAATATGTTTTACGCAATATAACTCAGTCATGAAACGGAGGTAAAAAAATAATGCAACTCTTGTTTCCCCTTCATTTATCAGAGATCATAACCCGTAATGCATTTTGTTCTTATTCAAGAGAAAACATGACTTTTTTTTTTTACTATCTTAAAAACATGTGTACCAACTGCTTCCTGGAAATACAGCAAACTTCAGCTTTTTGTATTTTTTTTTTAAAACCCAGCAGAAAAACAAAACACAGAACAACACCTAGACAGATTTTCTTAATGGTTTTATTTGTATTCTGCACATATTTCATCAACATTACAACAACATCAATGATTAATCACATTACATAGCATGCTAAAAATCAAAAGACACAAAAAGCAATAAAAACAGAAGTCCTACATTACATTGAATTCTAAGGCTGAGAATAGTTTTCCATTTTAATCTACCTTTTTTGTCTTTTCTTGTGTCTCAGTATTTGGACACTGGCTCTGCATTCTGACTTAGAAATACATTAAGAGGCATTTGAATCCGTACCAAGCTACAACATGAACTTAAATGAAACCATCATACTTACCATTGCAGCCAGCTGCTGTGTGAAGTCTCAACCCACAGAATCTCCAGGCCTTTCCACTTTTTACCTGGTTTTAGTGATGGTTTCCTGCATTCAGTCTGGTCTGCGATGACAGAAATCCATGATGAGTTTCACTGTGGTCACTTGAATCACATAATCAGTGAGGAAGATCCTACCAGAAAAACAACAAAAAAAGTTTATTTCTCAAAGACAGAACTTTAACCTCGTGCTCAGTGTTGCATTTCAAACCTCTGCTGGAGCACAAAGACTAATCAATGCCAAATATGTCACTGTCCAAATATTTTAACCTGCGCTGTGTGTGCATGTGTGTGACTGCATGTGTGTGAGTGCTGCATGAGGGATTAGCCTCAGTGTGTGTCCACCAGTGATTAGCCTGGTCAGTGGGCCTGTTGTGCATTCACTCAGGCCATTAGCATATTAATGCAGCCTCGCTCTTGATCTCCCTCCCACCCTCTCTCTCTCCCGCTCTGTCTCTCCCTCGCTCTTTCTCTTTCTCTATACATATTTCCCAGACCGAGTTGTCGCTTCCTGCAGCTTCAATCTATAAATCTCACCAATTTACGCCACTCGTGCTGTGAAGCAGCGGACAATCTCGCCACACAAATTTCAAGGTGCCTGGTCTTCTTTTCCCTCCAAAAATGTCCTCTTGTCCTCCTCCGGCTCTCTCCGTCAGATCTCTGCTCGCCATCTCTCTCGCTCTCTCTCTCTCCACCTCATTCAAATCCTTTACTTTCTCTCATTTTCCCCTTTTCTTTCTCCAAGTCTGGCCCCCTGAACTTTGTCAAACACAGGAAAACACACACAGAGGCAAATTCACAGGGGCAAACACAGAGAGAGCGAGTACACACACACACACACACACACACACACACACACACACACACACACAGACTCCATCCCCTCATTCATTCTCCTTTTCTGTCACTCTCACCCCATCCAGTGCAAATTTAGCCAGACCCTCTCTAGACTCCGCTGCTGAAGTGCGAACCGGACACATTCAACTGTACTTAACACGGTGAGAGCCATTCAGCCTTTTCTGCTCCACAGACAGACTCTAACCTCCTTTCCAAAATGGGACACTCCTGATCTCCAGAGCCGGGCGTTTAGACTTTGCACCTGTATGGGGAAAAAGTACAAAAAAATGTAACACACATTTAAAAATGAACTTAATTTCAACCTTCTAAAAATGCTTTTTTTTCCCTTTACAGCAGGTATGAAAGAGAAAAGATTTTTTTTAAAACTGATTTGACTTGAAATGTATGTATGGTCTGTTTCAGATTCTTGCATTGACCAATTTGTGCAAATAAATGAATCCCCTTCGTTTCCCATTCAGCTGCCTTCCACCTGCTGTCTCTGTTTGGTGCCGTTACTTTCAAAACTAGTGATGATATTAATTCTTCACCAGCTTGTCTGATAAACTGTGGCCTGTAAAAGGAAAAGTTTTTCCTGAAACACCTGCACTGACCTAAATATTTAGTTTCATTCTGTTCAAATCCAATCTGCCTGCTTTTACAGGCCCAACTATTCTAAAAACTGTTCTGCTGTTGTTTGGGGGGAAAAAAGTTGAGCTGACCTCCAAAA